TGGCTACCAAGATGGGATAAGCAAAAGGCAGACAATCATCTAATTTAAGATACTTTGAAAGTAAATGTTTGTGAAGTTATGCTCGAGCTATTTCTAGTTATATACCAGTAAGTTTTCAATTATTACTCCAAAAGGACCCTGTACTGTTAGTACTGTTAAATTGCCAAAATTTTGAATAATATATCTATTTCACAGTTAATGACAAGTTTCGAACAATTTATTCTTGATTCTTCTTCTTCTTGAGTTAGTGCTATTACGCACTTTTACTCAGTAATGGCTGGGGGGCTTATCTCTACCCTACACTAAGCTTTAACTAGGCTAAAAAATCATATCATTTATTTGTCTTTTAGTTGATGACGGACCTTAAATCAGCATATCTTCCTGAGAGTCCAGAAGTGGACTTGAGGATTGTTAGGGCGGGGTTAATTAGCGTATCAACTTTAGTGAACAATTTAGAGCTCTATCTCTGATATATTTTTTCACTGAGTCAATCCTAAGATCTCTATATATGTCTGTTGATCTAATATACCATGGAATCTTAAACAGTTTTCTTAAAGCCAGGTTTTGAGCTATCTGTAATTGCTTTAAGGTAGTATTTGAGGCTTTGCTATATGTAACACATCCGTACAGTAGTGCAGGTCTAATTACTTGCGTATAAAGTAACTTTCTGTTTTTAAGGTTGAATTAAATAGCGGCTTTAATAAATGTAGAATCTTAGAGCAGCTATTCCGTTTGTATTTCAAATGTTTAAACCAATTGAACCGTTTGTCAAAAGTGACCCCCAGATATTTTATGTTATCCTCCCACTGTATCTCCGTGTCGCAAACACTCACTCTTGGAGGATGCTGTCTTCTTTTTCGAGTCATAAATATAGCCTTGGTTTTGTCATTATTAATTTTAATCTTCCATTTTTGGAAGTAAAACAATAATTTAATAGAAATCGCCATTGCTGGTGGGTTATATTACCAATAACATTTGAAACCAACAAATGGACTTTGCATGGTTCTGAAATATAAATGTAAAGATAATTGAATTATTTCCAATAAGTTTATAATATCGCATTTGATTTTCATGTTTGCGTACTGTATCCAGTAACGTCACATTTGGTTATTAAGTAACGTTTCGTTCAATAAAAAATATTCTTTAAGATTAACATTTAATTTTAATCTAAATTTTATTTCTCCATAACTGCAAAGACATATTCACCGATGGAAGTGTTTGACAACTATTCAATTAGAGCGCAGTGACTAAAAACACTACAAGTATTGCTGATATGGAGGATTTGTTATAAGAAAATCTTAAAAATTATTTATCAGTTAAAAAAGACAGTTTACTATAATCTAAAATATACTTCTTTAGATTCGATATTAGAATGATTATAAAATGTCACCAATAGATTTCTTTTGTGCAATTGCATAATAGGGTAGTCATAATTTAACCTATAAAACCCAGTTCCATAAGACTTTTCATTAAGAACATTCGCATAAGGTAGTATTTCGCATCCAAGGGAGAGGAAAATATATTTATCGAAATCTCAAAGACAAGTTTGTTTCATCTTTATTTGCTTTTAGATCCATGCAATGGATAACCTTGTAAAAAATTACATCAATAAAAATAAATCATGCAACAAATAATGCCTCTATAATTAATAAATTTAATTATTCTACACCTGGTTTATAATTTCGTTCTAATATAAACACAGCAAGTGAATTTGTTAATAAAACTTTTATAGTAAATTAAAAAAAACTCCAGAAAAATGTACGAACAAAAAAGTCAAGTATGGCTTTGTGCCAGTTGTTTAAGGAGCACTGACTCTGAGCTTTAAATTTGGCAGAACAGGAGTTCGATTCCTGGTACTTGCAGCCTCAAAAAATTATTTACGAATATTTACGAATTAAATATAAGAAATAATTCCAAGACCACTGATGATGGGTATTTGGCAACCATATATATTAGCCGCGGGACGCATGCTGCCTGTGTGCAGTGCTTTGGAAAGCCCTGATATATAGACAATTTAGATCGTTTGTTATTTGAATTCAAAATAGGTAAATATAATTATAAATATAAATATAAGGCCCTAAATATAAAGCCCTGATGTATTAAATCAAGACGTCCCACATGTAATTTTGTAGGAAGCGTTTAGCATTCGAATGTGAGCGACAACCTACTTTGAGTGGTCTCATGGATACTTTAAATCAATTAATGTTATATTATTACTATATTGGATTATGTTACATAAAATATATAATATATAATATTATTACATTATTATGTTATGTTATTATTATATTATTCTTATTGTTATTTTCAAGTTCTAAGAAATATGTATTAATGGATTAAGAAATAGCTTATGGAAGCAAATCTAATATATTTGCTGTATATTTAAAAATGTGAGAAAATTAAATTCTACATCGTGGTAAAATGTATTTTCCACTAAACTTCTTTACATACATACTTCTTCCATTCATACGAAAATTATTGCTTATCAGTTTGTTCTGTAATTAACAATAAATTAGACTGTAGGCATCAGGATTTAATAAAATATCGCCCAGTATAATTAAAAGCCAACCTTTTGCGCTATAATTATTATCACAAGGCTGTTTAGTGGCATCAGTTAATTTAATAATAATCCGATAGAGTTGAAAACATCATTGATTAAAATGTAGAAATATTAATCAGGTCTCATCTCATCTCATCTAAATTTTTTTATACATACCAAATACTTTACTACTATGTTTTTCTGAACTTTTTGAAAGAGCACTACTGTCTCGAAACTATTGAATAAACAAATTGAATAACTTACAAAATAAAATAGACACGCAAACTGAAAGAATATTATTCTAGAGTTTTTCTCGGTGTTACATAAACATATGATAAGAAATGACATGATTATATTTTCGAAACTCAACGAATATTGTAGTATTATATTTACAGATTCGTGAAGTCCAAGGATAAGTCATTCATACATTTAACAGTTAATCTTCTATAAAAAAGCGTTCTTGGGTCTTTGCTTTATATATATATCTCTATTTAACATTCCAATAAGTGATCAAGTTATCACCACAGCTTTTATCGATAACATTCTCATTTTATGCCGAAACAAGAATACTATGTCAGCATTTAGCTCATTTGAATTCCATTTACTTAGGGTACAGCAATGGTTGTTAGAATGACGATGAACTTAAATGTAGACATCTGTTTTTTAAATCAAATCTAGGAGCTAATCATCATTAGTTATTTTCCTAAATAACATTCTCTTCCTACAAGCAGATATTTAAAAGTACCACTGCATTCTTATAGGCAGGCAAGTACTTTGACGGAAGCACTTTAAATTCAAAAACCTGCAAATAAAGCTTCACTTGCTCAGATACACGATTTGTATTAATGTAGTTACTCGAATTATCTTCTATAAAGTGCTTTGCCAATTCATTTTAAAGTCATCCTTTTATCAAAAATCGCATAAAATCATTTCAACTACATCTTTGTTAAAAAGAGAATCCACAAACGTTTTCAGTAATGTGACTAAAACATTAAACACACTTTAATTTATTTTCATTCTCCGTTTAACAATTCAACAATATATGTTTCAAACACGCTGCTGGTCATATCACCCTGTCCTCGTCCGTCCTCGTCTGATCCGTCTAATTTATAAGGCATTAGTGGAACACCGCTTCTAATATTCGGTTCCATGTGATATTGCATATACAGTCGTTCCTTGTGTCGACTTCTGAATAGAATCACCATAATCGCATTTTTCTGCATCACTCCTAAATATGATTTTTTTAACACCACTCCAAAATAGTTACATTTAAAAAAAACTTAAATAACATAAAAATAACATAAAATCTCAATTACAAGTGATCTTTATTTTAATTATTTAAATCACCAAATTAAAACCTGGCAAGATTTTCAGACCTAAATGAGATATATAGTCAGTGAATACTATACAGTAACAAAATAATTTTAATATACAAGCATCATTTCGACAGTTTTGTTTGATATATAATATTTTGAATAATAACATCAATTCTGCATTAGATTTGTTTACGATATGAATTATATTATAAGTTAGTTCTAGATATATGCAATATATACCACTGCATGACCGTATAAACTTACAGTTCTCTAACAAAAAAGATTTGAGTAAATTTTATCTAAAGCTCTTGTTTTAAAGAACCATAAATCTTTTAAAATCTATTTAAAAAGGTAACTTACTTTATCCCGGGATAGACCTCTTAAAATTCCACATAATATGGAATAAATATTTTTTTATGATGCAAATTGACTATCAA